CCAGGGGTGGCGAACCTTTATGCACCAACGTGCCATTTTTTTCAAAAAATTGTTTAATGAGGTCATAGACGTGCCGTCAAATCATTTTGACTATGTGATTATTGGGAAAATAATAACACTAAATACTATCAACTCAAAACTCTTTATTTACTATGAAAAAAAAAGTACATTTTGCAATGTCTCAGTTATACGGGTAATTCAACTTAAAGTAACATCAGTGTGACCTCTGTTGTTGCAGATTAGATGACAAATAACTTATATTAGGTTGTAAGATGTTAGTTTAAGCAGGACTGTTAAATTTTTTGCTAGTTATTTATTGTTAGCTTGTTTTTAAGGTTATTAATTGTTCTTTTAACATTAATTGTTAATTTTTTTATTAATAATTGTTTATTATTTTGTTTGTTTTTTGTGAATTTTACTTTAATTGTTACATATCCTTCATAGTGTGCGACATTTCTGTAATAACAATTCATAGTGCAATAACAATTGTGATCGGTGGAGTGGCCAAAATATTGTGTCGCGTGCCATTGGTTCGCCATCCCTGGTGTAGGCCATTAAACTTCATAGGCAGAATACTGCACCAATCTTAAACAGTATTATAGTATTCTTGGTAAGTAACGATGATGATCTTGGTAGAGATCAAACGATGCTATAAACTAAGTCTGATGTTGGAGTTTTTTAAAGGAGGGGAATTAAACAAACTCTAAGTATGTAAACATTGTATGAAACATTTTAGATGTTTTAGCTATTATTATTTTTAAAAGTCATGGGATCGAACATATATGATGTCGCACTCAGAAGGTAGGGTAGACGTTCGTAATTTCGTGACATAGAAGAGGAAAGAGGTAAAAAGTGACATTCCACTTTTTGATTAAAATTACATATTTTAAATGCACAATTATGTATTTTTTAAATCAAAATAATTACAGATTTAGTCATTTAATCTGTTCTAATCATGATCCAATTTGCGGTTTAATCTAATCATTATTTTGCCCACAACTGCCGTAGTTGGAGTTTAAAATATTAATTTAGTTTAAAATGTGTGTTTCGTTTTAGGATTGTTAGCATCGGTTTATATACGAGAGTGTAACAATCGTGATGTGAAGTGATACAGGGGAGGAGTGATGTGACATCGCTTTATGAGTGGCACCTATGTTAATATTTTTGAGTAAAATTTAACAACTATCGCGATGATTCATATCTGATGTGATATGTAATGTATCACATTCTGTTATAACATGTATAAGCATGTTACGTAAACGGATATTTTTTCCGTTTATACAAGTATTTTTTTTTTTTTCAATTTTCTTTTAAGACATTTGCGTAAAATGGATGTATTTTCTGGTTGTGCAACTAATAAATTTTAAATTATTTTTGTTTCATGTTAAAACATGTTATGTAAAATGGATTAACACACTAAGTGATGTTTTTTTTTCATATACTTTTTAAATATTTTAATTATATGTATTTTTCGTTTTTATAAAGGACATGATTTTTTCTTATTGAGATATAAATAAAAATGAAATTCAACAGAAGAGATTTTAGAGATCTTGTCTGAGGGGGGAGGGAGAATAAATTTAAAAGTTTATCGAACAAACTACTACATTTTTCTTATTGAATTTTATTGCGTATACTCTTTACATTAAACTAAATAAGCCTCTTTCTCCGATTGCTGCTTATTTCCTTTGGGAATCGGCAAGCTTTTAAAACTAGGGTTGTTGTGCTTCACCAAAGGGACAATATTTCACTTATTTTCTTTTCTTTCTTTCATAAAATCTGTATTTATTTTTAATAAACTTAAGTATTTATTTTTAATAAAAATCTAATAAGAATTTCAAATAATATAATCGATATTATATTATTTGAAATTCTTATTTGATTTTAAGTGTTGCATTATGAACTGATTTATGATTAATTCATATACTAAATTCTTTTTCTTGTATTTTAGGTAAGAAAACTCGATGACTGTTGTTCAAAAATCGGTTTGAAAAAGGTACCATTTTTTTAAGTCATAATTTTGATTAATTCTTATTATTGAAAATATTTTGAAAAAATATTTTTCGGTGGTCTAGCATAGGTTAACGATTTGATACAAACTTATTTTTAAATTTTTTTAATTTTATTTAAGAATGCGGCTGCCTCCTATATTTTGAGGGTCAAGTAAAATGTGCCAATCATTAGATCAAAAGTTATTGATAGGAGTTTCTTTCTTTTTTGCACACAACATAATCGGAAATATGTTATATTATTGTCGTCTAATTTTCGTATCATATTCTATTTAAAATTGGCTGTAGAACAAACGGGAGTTACTCACCGTTAGATTAACAATATTCTAGATTTTTTGATTGTTTAAATATTTTTTTTAAAAAGTTATATACAGAGTGTTGTTATCGTTAAATAGTGTCTTGTCTATTCGAGATTTTGTCTTCGTTAAGTTAGATTATGTTTACACCAGAGTTTATTCTTTTTAGATTATTTCAACTCAACATTTCGCCATCGTTGAGTTATGTCTAAAATTTGTCATCGTTATGTTACATTAACTTCAGAGTTAGTTCTCGTTAAGTTAGGCTGTGCTGTTTACACGAGATTTCAATAATGTTATGTTAACTTAAAATATCGTAGGTAATGTTTGTTTGTAATAGAGTTTTTCTTCCCGTGATTTGATTATATCGACTCAAGATTTTGTCATCGTTGTGTTATGTTTTGTCTTCGACACTATAGTTTGTTTGATCATATTTGCATGACAGTTTGTCATCGTTAGTTTGTGTCTACGCGAAAAATCGTGCGCGTTAAGTTAGGCTATGTCTGCATGAGATGTCGTTCTCGTTTAGTTCGGTAATGCGTACACTAAAGTTTGTCCTCTTTAGATTATGTTATGTCTTCCGAGATTTTGTCATTGTAAACGTTATGTCTGCCCGTGAATGTGTCATTTGGTTATTTATACACGATTATTCGACAGTTTGTCATGTCTATGTGTTGTCTACGATATGTTGTATTGGTCATGTTACAAGTTCAATGAGAATGTAATATGTCTAAACGAGATGTACTAATTTAGACAGGTTATGTCTGCACGAAATTTTCATACTCGTTAAGTTAGCTTGTGTTCCCATGAGATTTTGTCCTCGTTATGTCTACTAGGCAATTTGTTCCCGTAAGGTTGCATGTGCATACAATTTCGTCTTTGTTAACTTTAAGCTAGGTTATGTTTACATGACTGTTTGTTCTCGTTAAATTATATCTTATGTTTACCAAGATTTTGTCATTGTTACGTTATGTCTACACTTATTGTTTTATCTTATTTAGTTCGCAGTTTGGTACCATCAGGTTATGTGTGCACAAGATGTTGTACTTGTTAAGATTGGTTATGCCTGCACAAAATTTCGTCCTCGTTAAGTTACGTTGTGTTGTTCTCACGAGATTTTGTGCTCGTTACGTTACATTTACGCGATAATTTCTCATTGTTAAATCATACTTACATGACAGTTAGTCCCTATGAAGTTGCGTCTGCACAAGATTTCGCCTTTGTTAATTTAGATAAAAATGCGCAGTAAGTTCAATCTTGTTAAGTTTGGTTATGTTTACACGAGAGTTAGTCCTCGTTATATCATACCTACCCAAGATATTATCCTCATTAAAGTATTTTATCAATCTTTACCTACAATAACATTCACGATTTCGTTCGATTGTTCTCCATCATAAAATATTATTGTGAAGCTAGTATATTAATAGTTGTAACTTTATTAAACTGTTGTTGTTTTAAAAGTTTTGATGTGAAAAGTTAAATTGTCAATTCAATACAATTATTTCCAATCTACCTCTTTTTAGCTATTGCTTTTCAATATTGGTTTAGATGGGAGCATGCATATTATTTCGAAGGGGATTCGTTTTGGTTAAATTAGGTTGTATTCATTCGAAATGTTGTCGCTAAGTTAGGTTAAGTCTACATTAGAGTTTATTTCCTCGTTAAGTTCTGGCTTATGTGTACTCATATTTTATGTTATGTTATGTTTACGTGGAAGTTTTTTTTTAAATTTTGAAGTTGCTCCCATAGTAAGGACAGAGGGTACAGAGAATGAAATAACAATCATGCCTTTCCTAGGATTCGAACCCAGAACCTTTCCGATGCAAGGCCAGTTTCCTGACCCCTACACAGTCCGGTCGGCGTTTACATGGAAGTTTGCCTTTGTAATTACATAGCAGTTAGTCATCGTTAGTTTATGTCTACAGGAGACACCTTACTCGTTAAGATAGGTTATGTCTACGTGTCTACAGAGCAGCTTGTTCTTGTTAGGTTGCTTTTACTCGATTATCTCCGCCCGAGTTAATTTAGATTATCTCCAGGGAGACGTTGATCGGATACTGTTGATATATGTATATATTGAAGGGGATTCGTCCTCGTTAAATTAGGTTGTATTCATTCGAAATGTTGTCGCTAAGTTAGGTTAAGTCTACATTAGAGTTTATTGTTAAGTTTTGTTTTACGTCGACTCATATTTTGTTATGTTTACAAGGACGTTTGCCTTTGTAATTACATAACAGTTAGTCATCGTTAGTTTATGTCTACTGGAGACACCATACTCGTTAAGATAGGTTATGTTATGTTTACAAGGACGTTTGCCTTTGTAATTACATAACAGTTAGTCATCGTTAGTTTATGTCTACTGGAGACACCATACTCGTTAAGATAGGATATGTCTACAGGAGACCCCGTACTCGTTAAGATAGGTTATGTCTACAGGAGACTCCGTACTCGTTAAGATAGGTTAGGTCTACGTGAAAAATTTGATCCTCGTTATTTTAGGTTGTATTCTCGCGAGATTTTGAAATGGTTACGTTACGTTTATTCGAGAGTTAGTTATTATTCGGTTATATTTACAGAGCAGCTTGTTCTTGAGTTCTTGTTAGGTTGCTGCTACTCGATTATTTAAATTATCCCCAGGGAGATGTTGATCGGATACTGTTGATATATTTATGTATTGAAGAGGATTCGTCCTCGTTAAATTAGGTAATGTTCATTCGAAATGTTATTGCTAAGTTAGGTTAAGTCTACATTACAGTTTATTGTTAAGTTTTGTTTTAATTCTACTCCTATTTTGTTATGTTTACAAGGACGTTTGCCTTTGTAATTACATAACAGCTAGTTATCGTTAGTTTATGTCTACAGGAGACCCCGTACTCGTTAAGATAGATTATGTCTACAGGAGACAGCGTACTCGTTAAGATAGGTTATGTCTACAGGAGGCAGCGTACTCGTTAAGATAGGTTATGTCTACAGGAGACCCCGTACTCGTTAAGATAGGTTATGTCAACAGGAGACCCCGTACTCGTTAAGATAGGTTATGTCTACAGGAGACCCCTTACTCGTTAAGATAGGTTAGCTCTACGTGAAAAATTTGATCCTCGTTATTTTAGGTTGTATTCTCCCGAGATTTTGAAATGGTTACGTTACGTTTATTCGATAGTTAGTTATTATTCGGTTGTATTTACAGAGCAGCTTGTTCTTGAGTTCTTGTTAGGTTGCTGCTACTCGATTATTTAAATTATCTCCAGGGAGGCGTTAATCGGATACTGTTAAAAAAAACATACGCGATCTCGTTTGTCCCGTAATCATAAAATGTAATTGTGGAGCTAATACATAAATAGCAATGACATCATTGTAGAGGTATTGTTTTAAAAGGTGTCTTCTTCTTTTTTTTTAAATATACGGCTTCCTCTCTTCTGTGAGAAAAAGTTAAATCAATGCAATTCATTCCCCGTCTTCCTCTTCTTTTAGCTACTGCTTTTGAATATTGATTTAGAAGGGGAGCCTCTGGCATATTGTGCAGCCATCCAGACGAAATGTTCCTAGACTCGTCTACCAGTGCTGTGTACTGATGAGGCATCTTCTTTTACGACCCGCTCAATTTTATTGTTGGCGAGACTCCCGTAAAAAAGAACCCTTCTTTTTTTTTCCCACATCACTTACGACACGCCTTATTCCAACCTCTCTTTCTCGCTATAAATTATAATATTATAGATCATAAAACACTATTCTCTGAATTCGCATGAATAATAGATGCAATACTATGGCAATTGAAGAAAGAAGAGAGAGAGAAAAAATAATAAAAATTATTACTTCGAATTTATTATTTATTGTGTGTGTCGGGGGATGTGTGCGGAAGCATTATATAGAAATGGAAAAGTCGTAAAAAATGTAATTGCTCGATATTCTTCAAAGAACTCTTTTCAAATCCTCTGCAGGATTTACATAATAATTTACATCACTTTTTCCAACGATTTTTGCGAAGGAACAATTTTAAAAATCAGATCAAATTCTTATTGGAGTTAGTTCTGTTGATGGATATATGCGCCGTACATGCATCCAAAACGAATAATTTTAAAAAGATGTTTTTTTTAGTAGAGAAACAGCTAAAAAGTAAGTTAAGACATGGATATATGCGCCGTACATGCATCCAAAACGAACCGTTTTAAAAAGATGTCTCATTTTTTAGTAGAGAAACTGCTAAAAAGTAAGTTAAGACATGGATATATGCGCCGTACGTGCATCCAAAACGAACCATTTAAAAAAGATGTCTTATTTTTTAGTAGAGAAACTGCTAAAAAGTAAGTAATTGGAGTTAGTTCTGCTGTTAACGACTACTAATGTTCAATTACGTAGCCTTCGAATTTTGAACCCACTCCAGAAAATAAAGGAACTTCTGGATCAAGTTTTGGGAGAAATTTGCCTTCGTGGAGGAATTTTTTGATGGAACTAACCCGCATTTGTGTTACTTGGGAAATGTTAAGCACAAAAACCTCACACGGTTAGCCCGATGACAAGAGGACTCTAACCCATGATATGTCTACCACTGAGGATATTTTAAGTCAGCACTGTGGTCGGTGCAAGCCGGATGCGGAATTCATATCGGCCAGCCATTGCTGTGATTCGAACCCGGTTCAATTCATTGGAATGCGAGCGCTCAAGCTGGGCTATCACGGCTCGCTCTCGATGAG